GGACTTGAACAGCGGAACTTTGTAACTGAACAAGAAATTATGTCTGTTTATAGAACTAAAGAGAAAGTATTATCACATAAAATGAAGCAACTTAAACAACTTACATTGAAAGAAATGTTTAATAAAGTAAACAAATAAATATTAAGCTTTTTTTTTTGTTTGTTTGTAAATTTTGATACCCTTTAGATCATAATTGTTCTTTATTTCATAAATTACGGTTTCATATTTTTAATTTTAGAATTTCTGCATGCCATCTTACGAGATTTAAACTGATGACCTATAATCCGGAATCGCTGAAGTCCCGATGAGTCCGGATTAACGACTTTTGACTGTACTACAAATGTATAATGCACTGTGCTCTTTAAGACTGAGTATCAAAACAAATGTTTAAAATGTTAACTTTTAAAAGCCTACCGCATTTTGTGAGATGGAGGAAAGTGTCTCCAGCCTCTTGATTATTTCTTTAAATAGAAGCTTTTTTTAATCAGCTTATGCAACCAGAAACTTGTAAATATGTCAATAAAAGAGTATTTTGAATGGAATAAAGTTTACAAAAAAGTTCCCAAAATAAGCCTTAGGAAAAAGTCATTATTTCAGTTATTCTACATTCTTATTAAATAAACAAATATTATTAACTAAGATAATAAGAACTAATATTGGCATTTCATTAAGAACTGGCAAACAAAACTTGGGCTTTTGTGCAAACAATTGGATTTAATCTGAGTAAGTTTAGACAATTTCTATTACCACAGATGAAGCTTCTTATCAGTTTCTTGCATTTAATGCTATTAAGAGAATTATAAAATTATTATTAAATGTGTCATACAACTGTTAAAGATCTTATATAACACTGATTTGTTGTATTCAAATTTAGAACATAAAAACTTATAACGATTTTAATTTGCAGCAATAGTTAAAAATGTACTTTATGCTCTGTTCTAGTTCTTTTGTATTATTTCCAAGTATTCCAATTCAAAGGCATACAAATTTAATTCAAATTTGAGAGGATGCAGGTATAAAAAATTAGCTATTCATACCTAGGACATGTTTTGAAGCTAATTTGTAATTCTGAAAGTACCCCAATTGTCAAACATAGAGTTATTTCTGACTTATTATTAAAAACTACAGAATAATCTATATCTATGAACAGTAGTTCATATTTAATTTATGACTTGCAGCCCTGAGAACTGGACAACCCTTCATTTAAAATTTTGGGTCTGTCACTTCCTTATTTGTATTTTATAATAATTTAGTTGCAGCTAAGAGAATAAGAGTCAGGTTTGCTTTTCAATTTAATTTTAAAGGATGAGTTACAGACTTCTGGTCGTCTCTAACTTTTTCTTTGTGCTTCTTCTGCCCAAATAAACTACCAAATATACAGTTCTGCTCAGTAAACTATGAGTCAGAAGACATAAAGCACTAAACTTAGCATGAAAATGATTAATACATGCATAAGAATTGTTGCCAAAAATCTTTTTCAAAAGGCAATGCTGCAGAATTTGTTTACTTTAGATCTTAAATGATTTTATCATGTCAGATATTAGTGAGCTCGAATCCCTCTGAAATTGACCATGAGCAGCATTTTCTTTACACCAGAATTAAGATCGACAAAATATAAGGAACTAATTTATAACTGGCAAAAGGACACCTTTTAAATACATAAATGCCACTGTTGATATCCACTGAATCCAGAACTGAATCCACTGACTGAAATCCAGAATTCCTCCTATATATGTAAAAAATTAACCAACAGTCATCAAACCAAGTAGAATTACAGAGATGGGAAATATAAAAAACACAAAATATATAGGAAGAGGAATGCAATCAAAATCTGATTCAACATTATCAAAAGGAGGTAGATCAGATTCAATTTAACTCTTTTTCCCTTGGAAAACAACTGTGTTCAGAATTAGCTGAAGAACCATTCTAAATTATTTAATTATGAAAGTTCACCTGAAAATTTTGAATTCCTTTTCTAGCTGAAAATTTTGAATTTCATTTCTTTCCTGTCTTTGTGGAGTTGGTTTTAAATTTCTTACTTTTTGTCTATAATTGATTAATTTCATTAGCATATTGTGCAGAAATTATACTGGGATAATTTTGTTTTAATATAAAAATTTGTGTTACTGTTATATATGTCACAAAAATCAACAGAAATAAAATTAATAATTAATTTACATGTTATAGTGTGGATAGATTAGCAATGTACCACAAAAAAGAAAATTAAATGAATAATTAATTGATGTAAAACAAAATTAAACACAGCTATTAACAGAAACATTGGCTCATAATTCATAAGATGAATCATTGGTTCATAAATTCAGAAATATCTACAGTAAATTCAGATGAAATCAAATTTATCAAAAAAATTTATGCTGAAAATCACTACAAATGGGAGAATGTGCAATTAGTATAATTTGTTTCATTGACTGAATAAATTTCATTTATAGCTCGGAAACATTCACCTCAATAAAAACCAGGATAGTTGGCAGCTCTGGAAATAGTCTTACAGTTCATATCTGATGTATGCTGATGAAAACACTTAAGTTATAAAAATTCTGAAATTCACACATATTTTATAATAAACACAATTATATATGAGTACCTTACAGTAAAGTTATTTCTGTTTTTAGGAATACATTGGTCAAATTAACAATTCAATATCCAGTAGTGAACTATTCTAATCACAATCATAAAAATTTCCTATATTTTTTAAGTAGAAAAATTTATGTTTGGTTACATAAATAGGTATTTCATACTTCTGAGTAAAAAATGGGAAAAAATATCTTTTCATATTATTAGCATATAATTCATTACTTTCTTATTTAACGATAGCATATAATTCATTACTTTCTTATTTAACGATATTTACATATTATCCCTTTAATAGTGGAGCAGCATGATTTAGCCTCAGTTATGAGCATGACTTCACAACATGCTCTACATCTGTGCTTTCCTTTGATGTAACCCTAAAGGATTCTTGGTAAGCCACTTTTTTATGTACAAGGACACAAATTAACTTCTATTGTTATATTTTTTCCCTTGCATTAAAAAAAGAGAGAGAGAGAGAGAATTTGAGGGGTGTAGAATTTGTGGCTGCACTTTGGTTTATTTACACCTGGGCAAGAGAACATTTGTTCAATGGGATAAAGAACAACTGGATATGGCCAACAAAACAGCAGTAGATTGAAACAATCATTTGTACTCATGTTGTTCTAAACAGAGCTTCCAGTAAAACTAGGGTCAACGAAATGGACAAATAGATATTTTAGAGTGCACGAAGCCGAATTGCGCAGAGAGACTGATGAATGTTTCATTGTAAGAGTTGTAAACAAAAGTGCAGCTCAGAATTCTGGAGGAATGACGATACTATTTTGGCAGAATCTCCACCAACTCGATGGTAGCATACCTGCCAACCTCTAAAGATAAAAATTCAGAAGAACACGAAGAATTAATATCATGCTTTGATATTAAAAAAATAACAATTTATACAAATAGAAAAAAGAAAATTGTACTTACATTAGTAAATCTCAATTAAGTAGTAACTAAAAAATTTATTAGGAAACATAAAACAAGAACTTAATGTTACACAAAAAAATTATTGCAATGAATTTAGAGTGCATTTTTTGGCTTTAGCCAAAAATTCTTTGGAAAATTTCCTGTCATAACAATTAGTTTCCTCATAACATTTAGCAATTAAAATGTTTTCTAGAGTTTTTGGTGAAATTGAAGAACGAAACATAGTTTTGTTTTTCTTCACAACACTGAAGACTCTCTCGCACTCAGCATTACTGTGTGGAATTACGAGAATAGCACATAAAACTCTTGCTAGTCTATCATATTTTGGTGTTCCATCAGCTCTTTTTATTCTTTTTAAGGTACCAACGAGGACATCAAGTCTATCTTCTCCAGAACTGGCAAAGTCTTCAAACTGTGCAGCAGAAAATTGGTTCTGTAGTTCATCTAAAGCATCATTATGGCATTCATTTTCTTTAATTGTTAACAAAAATGGAAATTTATCAATAAACGTGCTTAGTGGCACATTGTGTTCGATGAGGAATGCAGTAAACAAACACTCTGCCAAAATGACACCGGCATCCGAATTCGTAGCCGAATTTGAAAAAAAAAATCATCCACTTTCTTTGACGTTGTCGAAGCCGAAGCATTAACTTCATGCTTTTTAGACTTAACATGCTTCACAATGTCGCTTCTTCCACCATGACTTATTATGAAGTCACACACGCATGCGTTGCAAAATGCATAGTTATTTCCTTTGAAGGATTCTTTAATTGTTGGAAATTCGGCTTTGTAGGCAGGCCGAAAATATTGAGAATACGGTTTTTTTTAACTCATTTCGTAACAACGACGTATTAAAAAAATTCGTAGCACGTGGGAAAAAAAAAAAAAAAAAAAGAATGCGACAATCCACGCTCGCTGAGTAATTCCCTTACTGCTGAAGCAAACGTGAAAAAAATAATCTGGCGCCCACAAAGAAAAGAGTGGGAGAAACAAGTTCAGCGCATTGGATTGGCTGGTTAAGCGGCAAGTTGGGAGAAACCGCAGGTTACTGGATTCGAAGTAGTCGGCAGTTGGCGGTAAAACACGATGCAATTGGCGAAAATCGCTGAATTGGCGAAGAATTCTAAAATTTCGACAAAAATCACTAAAAACACTTGAAAAAGGAAAAAAATCGTAAAAAATGGATTATGATCATAAAATCGTAAAGATAAACAAATTACAAATTAATTAAAAATTACGAAAAATTCGTAAAAGTTGGAGATATGTGGTAGCCAACTTTCACAGTTGATGGAATAATACATAAGTATCCATAAATGCCTTGAGAGAAAATTACTCTAAATTTGTTGCCAATGGAAACTGGTTACATTAAAAAACAATATAAAAGAAGTTACAGATATTAGTTTTCCCTAAAACTGAAAAAGGAGAAGACAATTAATTGTCTAGAATATGAATAAATCAGTAATAATATTTAAAATACTTACGTTATGTAAAAATTTAGAGGTTACATATGAATCCGTTCTGCTATCAGGAGTATTTTTATTCAATGCTGATGGAGCTGGCCTTAAATTACAGAAAATAGAATTTTAATAAAAGAGATAATGCAGTGCCTAATAAATTTAAAAAACTAAAAGCATTTACTTACAAGTTTTTTGTTAATTTTACAGATGATGTAGGAACAGGTATTCTGGATTTAACAGGCAAAGGTATTTTGCTTCTGTAACAATAAAAGAGAAAATCATTTTAACATTTTAATTACTAGCATAACATTTTGTTTCAACTTTTAGAAATTCCTTCTTAACATAGAAATTTGGAACATAGCATCAACATACTGTGTTTATATCTTGATTTATGCTATGCTTTTATTCCATTACTAAGTGATCCAATAGCTTCTGAAAATTTTTTATCTACTTTATAACAGCACGCAAAAATTGCATGAAACATAAGGAAGGATATATTACTATTTTATCTGCCTGACAAATTAAAATAAGGATAACATAAGTGTTGATAAGTAATTAAAAAAAGTAATCTGATACCACATATAAAGAAAGATACACATAACATAATTTGAAAGGGTATGCAGGCATCTGTTCTCATTCAGTAGAATTACTGAAACTACAAACCATTAAAATACAAAAAAAAAAAAAAAAAAAAAAAAAAAAAAAGAGCCAGTGTCCCTTTTTCTCTTAACGTAAATAACATCATTTGTGAATACATGCTAAAGCTAAATAAATTACTTTATGCGCACAAAGGTAACAAAGTTGGAAATATCAGATTTTTGCCAGTAAGCCCCAGCATTTATCATAGTATATTGGTCACAAAATTCCATGAAATCCTTCCTATTTGGGCTTCATCTAATGCCAACTTGTTTGACTGCAACTGTGTTTTTTTTAAGTATTTCACCCCTTTTTTTTGTTAAAGTTTTAATTATTCTTTAAACATTCAAAACATTTCAAAAACATTTCAGTTATAAATCACTTCAATTATTAATTATTATACTTCTGCATTTTTAAAACAGCTCTTCACATATCATTGCGAAACAGCAGGAAATCCTAATGGTTATGCTCGACTTCAGGTTTTTCCAAGACATTCCATTTTTACCTCTTTTTCTTTACTAGCGAAGTAAAGCACTGCAGTTTTACATAATTTCTGAGTAAGCTATTTGAACGAATTGAAATAATTCTTGCATTTAAACTTATATTCCAAATTAAGATTTGACTTGAAATTAATGTAGATAATTACCGAGAGAATTATATTTTTGTAGCGTAGTTTATGTGAGATGAAATCACTTGGGGGCATGTGATATGAACCATGATAGCATAGAAAATTCTTAAATTAATGCCTTTTTATAAATTTATTGTCTTTATTGGCTTTTTACAAAATTTAAAATGATGTTAAAATGTTTCTGCCTTCAAAATTAAAAATTCTTAGAACTAACTTTTTTAAATATTTTTTGTGCATACTATATGTTGTAGCCAATAAAGTTTGCTTGGCGAGATTTGCGCTGGTGAAACGGAAAAGTACCTTATGATCTAAGAATTATTTAAAAAAAAAAAAAAAACTTAACATTTATTTGTTTACTTTATTAAACATTTCTTTCAATGTAAGTTGTTTAAGTTGCTTCTTTTTTTTTGTGCTACTACTTTCTCTTTAATTCTATAAACAGACATAATTTCTTGTTCAGTTACAAAGTTCCACTGTTCAAGTCCTGTAACTCCTGTGTCGAAAATACCGAGTAACTTGTCAATCGAAATTTTTTCGTTTTCAATAAACTTTCTATCACTTTCTTCACTATTTCTGGATCTAGAACCATACTACAGATTTCGCCATCCGTTAATTGATTGATGATTGGGGCATTGCCGCCGCAATGAAAAACTTCTGTTACATCATCTTCATTTATTACTGCTTCTCCACATTTCTTTATAAAAACCAATAACTGGAAAATTTCACCTTTATTTTGCAATGTCCGAAGTAACTGGCTATAAATTATGCCATGCATTTTTTAACGTATCTGGAGGACACATCCTCCCATGATCTTGCGATGCTCCACACAGCAGATTTTATGCTAAAAAATTTCAAAAGGTCTTGAATAGTCTTGCCATTGTTCAAGAAATTTAACATAGATTTTTTAAAATGCTACTTTATATTTGCATTTTAGTGTGTGCACTATTCCCATATCCACAGGCTAAATGACAGACATACGATTTGGAGGGAAAAATAATACAGATACATTATCTTTCACTTAAACTTTAAGTGAAGTATGCGCCGAATAGTTGTCAACAATCAGGACTATTTTTGAATCATCAGGTAAACCAACCAATTCAAATGTTGCCGAGCCTCGGGTATAAAATGATTTTCAAACGAATCATTAATCAATACTTGTGTCATCTATGCTCCTTATTTGCACGATATATAACGGGGAAAATCGTTACTCCTTTAAATGCTCAAGGTCGCGCATGTTTTCTGATTACGAAAAGTTTGCACTTGTGCGTTCCTGCAGCATCTGCACATACTAAAATTGTTAGTCTCGCTTTGGAATCTTTGACACCAGTTCGAGCTTTTTCGGTAGAGGTTGCCAAGGTATTTCGCAGTACATATTGCCAGAAAAGACCAGTTTCATCAGCGCTGTAAATTTGTTCTGAAGATAATTGCTCACTAGTAACGAGTTCAATGAATTCATCGGCAAATTGTCCAGCAGCTTCAGTATCAGCTGAAGCTTTTTCACCTGAAATTTTTAATTGTCTTATATCATAGTAATTTTTTAATTTGGTTAACCAACCTGTCGAATATGTGCACTCAGTGCTTAAGTTCATTTCTTCATTATATATTTTGGCTTGAGCCATTAGCATTGGACCTGTCAATGGCCCGCCCTCACTGCGACGCTGTCTGGCCCATTCAATCATCACTTTGTCATGATCGTCACTTTCAGCATAACAAACCGTTTTTCTGTTATTCATTGCAAATGGGGTGTCCGAATCCACAAAAAATTGAAAAAGTTCCTTTTTCTTTTTGCTTATGTCATATACAGTTGACTTTCCAATGTCATACTCCTCGCATAATTTTGAGACAGATATGCCTTTATTCATTTTTTGCAGCAATTCCACTTTTTTGATAGACATCAAACATGCTTTCACTTTGTAGATCCTTTGGCAGCTCCAGAATTGGAAACTCTTTTTGACATAATCGAAAGTTCAAGCTTAATTTTTATAAAATTGCTCTAACAGCCTGCAAAAAATAAGCTGGATCCAATCAGAAGATTAAGGAACAGCGCAATCTGCAACATTAACTGAAATGCCTTAGAATCAGTAAAGATAATTTTAGCCTAGCTTATACTGTCTGTTACACATTAAACACGCATGCATAAACGCATTACGCACATGCGTAAATCATATAAAAAAAGTTTGTGGCTTTGAGGTCCAGATTATAGATCATTCCGGATAATGGACATCCAGATTACGGACTTTGTACTGTATTACCATTCAAATATACTTCTAAGTTTACTATTATAAAAGACTTTAAAAAAAAAAAAAATTGTATACACATATCTAGCAATACTTCATTTCGGTTAGTCTCATCATTGGCTACGTAAAGTTTAGACTAGTTAGCTTCACCCTCATCGACCGGCCTCCCAGAGATTTGTCATATCAACTGCCATTTGAACTTCTGATGATTAGTAGCATGCACAACATTTCCATACATGCCTATAATTGCTGAAATGTAGCAGATATGCCATTTTTTCACCGACAATGTCACTGAAGTAACTTTACAAAGACTTTTTCATGTTATGTTACCAAAAGTTATGCGAGAGCTACAACATTCTATAAAGGATGCGGCAATCGCCCAGAAGCTTGAATCAAGTGATGCAATTGCATCCGAGTCTTTGATTAACCTATATTTTAGTATGATGTGACTGGTTGCATGATTGCTGTGAATCTGACTGATGGGGAAAATATCTGTCAGATGTCAGTTAGGAAGTACATCACATATTGTGTGCTTTGCATTGTAAAATGGTTGCCGGTGGAGTGGAAAGTGAGGGGAAAACAGAGAGTGGAAGTTGCCAGTGGAGTGGAAACAAGAGAGTGGAAGGTGTTTTTTTTTTCTAAGTGGTTGAGGACAGAAAAAAAGAAACTTTGTTGGATGTAATTCAAGGGAATTATAAGTGTTCTGTTTGTATAAAGAAAATGTGTATGGTCGAATGTAAAGATTGTTTAGATGACTTTGAATGGGTTTGTTGCAAGAAAGGTTCAAATGCTTACCATATAAAACATTCCATTAGAAAGGGAACATGGTTTGAGGAAAGTTTTTGGATGCTGTTAAGGAATTTTGTGTGCCACAGACTGAAGGCAGAGAAATTTTTAAATAAGGTAAGTGTTTCCTTTATAAGTGGATATTTCCTTTGTGTAGTGTGTAGATACGATAAGATGTATTTCCTTTTTTATGTTATTTCACTATTCGATTTAAAATGCAGTTTATTGAGATTATATATTTTTTGTTTGGCTCCAGTGTAGAATTGGGTGCTCCTTCAATTTTTAAGTGAAAATGGATTGATGTGTAGATGGACAAAGTCAGTACACAATGCCGAGTTTGCACAATTATCTGTTTTTTTTAAGTGAAAATAGATTGATGTATACATAGACACTGAGTTTCTGCAATTCTTTGATTTGTTATTTTGGTTTTATTTAGTGGCCATCTTGAAATTGTGCTTTGCTGGCCAATAGCCAAAAATCACCAAGGGGCACCCTTAAGTATATTTTTACCTATATATATATATATTATATAATATTATTGATTTATGTTAGTGATTACAGGCACATTTAAAAGCATTAAGACATATACAATAAAGATATAAAATTAAGGGATATTAATAAAGCATAAAACATTTAGTTTTTTTTTTTTTTTTTACATGTTTCAAAGCATTTTTGATTGAGCTTTGTTTTAAAACTCTGGGTGCTCCAGAGTAAGTTTCATTTTTATTTTGCAAATTATATAGAGTCATAATCTCTTGCTCTGTGACACAGCTCTTTTGTTCAAAAAATTTCAGGTATTTTTCACTATGTTCCAAACCCTCAGAATTGAAAGATAATTTTTCACTCCTATCAACTTCACTACCTGTGATGTTGGAATAATTTTTTTGCTGTGGCAAGTTCAAAACAGAGCTAATGTTTTCATCATCGTGTTAGATATTAATTACTTTGCTTGTCGATAGCTGGCAGTGCC